CTGTCCCTGTTACTCTGCCTCCTTCAATAATGCTGGATCTGTTCGTAAGGCTGATATTAATAAATAATGTTAGTAACGATAACAAGAAATGAGTAATAATCAGTAGTCTTTCTTTTTTTTTTTTTTTAGAAATGAGGTCTTGCTCATCTCTAAAATGAGCAATGCCACTGCAGTCCAACCTGGGCAACAGAGCAAGACCCTGACTCAAAAAAAAAAAAAAAAACCTAAATAAACCAACAAATAAAGGCACGAATAATTACAAGCAAGATTTTTCACCTGTGTGAGGAGCATTAGAAAGTCATGAAGAAGAAAGGATAATTCTTTTCCATATGAGACTGTCTTGTACATGGTAGGGTATTTAATATACCAGTCTCCCATTCTCTAAATGCCCAGGTTGGTCTCGAACTCCTGGGCTCAGCAATCCTTACGCTTCAGCCTCCTGAGTAGCTGGGATTACAGGTGCATACCACTGTACCTGGCTTTTTTTTCTTTTTTTTTCTGAGACAGAGTCTTGTTCTGTTGCCCAGGCTGGAGTGCAGTGGTGTGATCTCAGCTCACTGCAACCACCTCCTGGGGCCCGATTCTTGTGCCTCAGCCTCCCAAGTAGCTGGGATTACAGGCGTCCACCACCACACCTGGCTAATTTTTGTGTTTTTAGTAGAGACGGGTTTCACCATGTTGGCCAGGCTGGTCGAACCTGACCTCCCAGGTGATCCACCTGCTTCGGCCTCCCAAAGTGCTGGGATTATAGGCATGAACCATCACACTGGCCTGTACCTGGCTCTTCATTGGTCTTTACTATATATAGACTGCTGTGGTAAACACTTTATTCCACCTAAACTCCCTTTTTTTTTTTTTGAGACAGAGTCTCGCCTGTCGCCCAGGCTGGAGTGCAGTGGCACGATCTCGGCTCACTGCAAGCTCCGCCTCCAGGGTTCACGCCATTCTCCTGCCTCAGCCTCCTGAGTAGCTGGGACTACAGGCGCCCACCACCACAACTGGCTAATTTTTGCATTTTTAGTAGAGACAGGGTTTCACCGTGTTAGCCAGGATGGTCTCGATCTCCTGACCTTGTGATCCACCTGCCTCGGCCTCCCAAAGTGCTGGGATTACAGGCGTGAGCCACCGCGCCCGGCCTAAACTCCCTTTTTTGACCTCTCATTCCCCTGAGTGACTGACGGCCTCAGAGTCTCATCAATGCACCTTCAATTTCTTTGTCTATCACTTTCTTGTCACTATTCATGTCCTGCAAACTGGCCTCCTTCTGGTCCACCCCAGGGCCTTTGCACATGCTGTTAGACTGAAACACTCTACTCCCTTCTCAGATTCTCCTCTGAAAACCTGCCCCTGAGACCCTGGGTGCCAGTTTTCTTGGTCATATTTCTCCAAATACCTCAGACCACTTGACCTGTAGTTACATGACTGAACTCACAGCAAAACTTGAATATAGTAGGCACTTAGTAAATACTAACTGAATGAATGCATAAACCCATAAAGGAAACTAAGAAGTAGAAAAAATAACCCTAAAACAACAGCATTCAGGGAGAGTGTTATAGAACTATGTGAGCCAGTAGCATGGTTGAGGGGCACGTGGGCACAGAGAATGGTAGGCGGTTATACTAAATGCCTTGCATGTGCAGGACGAGTCCCATATGGGAAAGGCTTATCTTTTCCCCTTCGTGACTTTCTAATGTCCCTCAAAGAGTTGAAAAATCTTGCTTGTAATTACCTGTGCTTTTAGCTTGTTTGGGCTTCTTTCTTTTTCTGTTTATTTATTTATTTTGAGACGGAGTCTTGCTCTGTCACCCAGGCTGGGTACTGGCACGATCTCGGCTCACACCAAGCCTCCACCTCCCGGGTTCACGCCATTTCTCCTGCCTCAGCCTCCCAGCTGGGACTACAGGCACCTGCGGCCACACCGGCTAATTTTTGTATTTTTAGTGGAGACGGGGTTTCACCGTGTTAGCCAGGATAGTCTTGATCTCTCTCCTGACCTCGTGATCTGCCCGCCTCAGCCTCCCAAAGTGCTGGGATTACAGGTGAGCCACCACGCCTGGCCCACTATTTTATTTTTGAGACAAGGACTTGTTCTGTTGCCCAGCTTGGAATGCAATAGCATAATCATAGCTCACTGCTGTAATCTTGAACTCCTGGGCTCAAGCAATCCCTCTGCTTCAGCCTTCCAAGTAGCTAGAACTGAGCACCTGCCACCACACCTGGCTAATCAAAAAAAATTCTTTTGTAAAGATGGAGGTTTCCTTATGTTGCCCAGGTTGGTCTCGAACACCTGGCCTTAATTGATTTTCCTTCCTCAGCCTCCTAATGCACTGGGATTACAGGTGGGAGCCACTGCACCTGATCCTGTGCCTTTAGTTTAAACCTAACTCTATTTTTACATAAGAACATAACATATTTTTGTATGTTTTAATATACACTGCATTTTCCTGCAATGCAACTACTAAATAAATAGAAGAAAGACTAGACTCTTTTTGTATATGGAACTTTGCAAGAGGTGTTCAACATTGTGGAACATCTTTTTTTTTTTTTTTGAGACAGAGTCTTGCTCTGTGCAGGCTGGAGTGCAGTGGCAATCTCCAGCTCACTGCAAGCTCCGCCTCCCGGGTTCACACCATTCTCCTGCCTCAGCCTCCCGAGTAGCTGGGACTACAGGCGCCCGCCACCACGCCTGGCTAATTTTTTGTATTTTTATTAGAGACGGGGTTTCACCTTGTTAGCCAGGATGGTCTCGATCTCCTGACCTCGTGATCCACCCGCTTCGGCCTCCCAAAGTGCTGGGATTACAGGCGTGAGTCACCGCGCCCGCGCCCGGTCCGCTTTTGTTATTTTTTAAAAGATGAGGTCTCATTGTATTTGTGCAGGCTGGTGTTGAACTCCCAGGCTCAAGCGGATCATCCCACCTTGACCTCCCAAAGTGCTGGGACTACAGGCATGAGGCCACCACAACCGCTGCATCCAAAACTTTGAAACTCTGCTCCCCCTTTAATTCTTAGGGCCCAGGTAGCTTTTTTTTTCTTTTTAATTTTTTTTTTGAGACAAGGCCTTGCTCTGTCGCCCAGGCTGGACTGCAGTGGTGCGATCATAACTCATCACAGCCACAAAAATCCTGGATCCAGTGACCCTCCTGCCTCAGCCTCCCAAGTAGCTGGGACTACAGGTGCATGCCACCACATGTTTAATTTTTTATATTTTATAGACATGGGGTCTGCCTCTATTGCCCAGACTGGTCTCCAACTCCTGGTATCAAGTGATCCTCCTGCATGACCTCCCAACAGAGTGGCATTTCCAAACTCCGAACTAACATTAGGAGTAAAGACAGTTTGGCTGAAAATGGCAAAAAATGGTCTAAATTTACTGAGCACTTATTATGTGTCAACTGTTCTTCAGGCCCTTTGCATACATTACTTCATTCAATCCTGTGTGGCCAATTAGATCCCACTATTTCCGTTATGTGAGGCCCAGAGATGGCAAAAGTCACTTTCCAGAAGTCTACAGCAAGGGCAGCAGAAGACATATCATTCTGGACGACAGTGGGGCTTCTCTTATGCGGTTTACCTGAAATGTTCCAAGGCCTCTGGTGCCAGATAGCCTGGGTTCAAGAACACTGGTTAGATGCATGACCTTGAGGAGCTCACTCAATCTCTGAACTACATCTGTGAAGCCTCTAATCCAAACACTTTGGGAGACTGAGGTGGGAGGATTGCTTGAGGCCAGGAGTTGGAGACCTGCCTGGGCAACATAGCCAGATCTCGTTTCTACTAAAGGTAAAAAAAATTAGGCTGGGTGCGGTGGCTCAAACCTGTAGTCCCAGCACTTTAAGGAGGTTAAGGCAGGCAGAATGCTTGAGTTCAGGAGTTTGAGACCAAGCAATACGTAAGTGCATAGTGACTGTGTGTGCAGTGACTGTGTGCAGTGTGTGTGCAGTGTGTGTGCATAGTAACTGTGTGTGCATAGTAACTGTGTGTGCAGTGACTGTGCATAGTGACTGTGTGTGTGGTGTGCACATAGTGAGTGTGTGTGCAGTGTCTGTGTGCAGTGACTGTGCACAGTGACTGTGTGGTATGTGCATAGTGACTGTATGTGCAGTCTGTGTGCGGTGACTGTGCAGTGACTGTGTGCAGTTCTGTGTGCAGTAACTGTGTGTGTGCAGTGACTGTGTGCACAGTGTGTGTGCATAGTGACTGTGTGTGCAGTGTCTGTGTGTGCAGTGACTGTGTGCAGTGACTGTGTGTGCAGTGACTGTGAGCAGTGTCTGTGTGTGCAGTGACTGTGTGCAGTGACTGTGTGTGCACAGTGACTGTGTGACTGTGTGTGCACGTGCAGTTCAAGGCTCCAGGAGAGGGCCTCAGTGGGCCGGCCCCACATGAAGCTACCAGATCCGAGTCTGGCACTTCTGAGTTCCTCTGCCTGAGAATCTTTGCCAGCACACTGCCTGGCCTTCACATCTCCTTTATCAGACTTGGAGAGTCAAGACTCTGCTGGTCAAGGCCAAAGATCTTGTGGGCTTGAGATGGAGGTTTGAGGACTGCAGGATGGAGAGAGCTGGAGGAGCAAGGAGACAGTTGGCAGTTTTCCTGGGGCCTGGGGTCCATGGAGCTGAACGGGGGACAGGAGAGGTGAGAGGTGGCTGGGAGTGGATTTGCCTCCATTGTCTCTGAGTGTACAGGATGTGTGTGCGGGATGGGGCGAGAGACAGAGGTGCTGCGCTGGGAAAACCCATCCCTTTCTCTGCAAAAGATGCAAACCACCCAAAACAGAAACCCCCCATTCAGAACCTGATAAAAAACAGCCAGAGTCTACAGGAAGTGGGAGGTACAGGGGCTGGGGGCGGGAGGACAGACAGACAGAGGGGAGCGGAGGGGTGGGGAGAGCGTCAGGCATCCCACGTTGGAGAGGCAGGGTTTGGCATGCAACGCCGATGCGAGGAGATGCGTTCACAGTTAATGTAAGGCATTTAGACTTCAGAAAGAAGTAAGACCAACCGGATTCTAGATGCAGATGTTGAAGATGAGGGGGAGCGGGCGGGCGGGGGCAGTTGGGGAGGCGTGTTCAGCATTTTTTAGGTTGATTTGTAACCAGTGCCAAAAAACCAATGGGTTTCGGTTCCCGGGCGGGGAGTGGGGGTGGTGGTGGCGGTGGGTTGGGAGATAAGTCATTGGTGTATGAACACACAGACCATGTCATGGATGAACAAATGAATTTCATAGTGCATTTTGATTGGATGAGTTTTTCAGACGGCGTTGCGCCAATATACAGTTTTAAGAGCAGGCATGAAAAGAGACAAGACAAGAAACACAGTCATTATCCATTGCACACAGGGCAAACCCACGTCACCCCAGCCACTTGGGGGCGGCAGCTGAGGCAGCACTGGTTAGTACTGCCGCATGCCCTCTGCCCCCTAAACCCCAGGGACCTGCCCTCCCAAGAATCTGGCATTTCCTGTCTCAGCCTGGCCAAGCCCTGGCCTCAGAATTAGTGGGCTTACCTGGGAGGCAGAAAGGGGCAACTGAGACCTCCTTGCCCACCAGGACATGCCTCTCCCTACTCGAGGTTGGGACTTAATTGTCCTAGAAGCACCCAAACACCCACCCACTATCTTTCCCTCAAATTGATTATAATTCAGGGCTGGCTAACGCACACCCATTCACAATAACAACAACAATAGCAATAATAATGACAACCACCATTCTCAAACTCCTGGTTTCCTGGCAGGTTCTGTGCCAAGCGCTTCACGTTGATTTCTTTCTTTCTCTCTTTTTCTTTCTTTCTTTTCCTTTCTTTTTTTCTTTCTTTTTTCTTTCTTTCTCTCTCTTTTTTCTTTCTCTTTCTTTCTTTCCTTTCTTTCCTTTTCTCCTTCTTTTCTCTCTCTCTTTCTCTCTTTTCTCTCTCTCTTTCTCTTTTTGTTTTTGAGACAGAGTTTCACTCTGTTGCTCAGGCTGGAGTGCAGTGGCACAATGTTGGCTCACTGCAACCTCTTGCCTCCTGAGAATCAAGTGATTCTCCTGCCTCACTCCTCCTGAGTAGCTGGGATTACAGGCACCTGCCACCATGCCTGGCTAATTTTTGTATTTTTAGTAGAGACAGGGTTTCACCATGTTGGCCAGGCTGGTCCTGAACTCCTGGCCTCAGGCGATCCACCGGCTTTGGCCTCCCAAAGTGCGGGATTATAGGCGTGAGCCACCGTGCCCAGCTGAGGGTCAGTTTTCCCGTCTGCAAAATGGGGCAATACCCTCTTTCTCAGGCCCGATCACACCCAGTTCTATTCTCCTGACCTCTCTGCCTGCTCTGAGCATCATATTCAGCTTCCTTCTGGTTTACCTCGACCAGTGGGAGGCTCTGGCAGGAGATAAGGGACGAGGGGAGAGAAAGGTTGGGGTGTTTCTCTCTTATTGCACTCCACCTGCTTTGGCCCTGGTCTCTGTGCCTCCACATTGACAGGACAGGTCCCATTTGGTGGCATCTCCTGGCCTCCTGCTCAGGTTCCCTCCCCACTTCAGCACCTGGGCAGGTTACGGCTCCCTATGGTGGCTGGTCACTGGGCACCTTGCCACCCTTGTGGGTCCCCTTCCCTTCCCTTCCACCAGTGATCTCTGCATTTGGGTGCCTTCAGCTGAACCCTCCGAGGGAATTCTCTTACAAGCTGAGACCGAGACCTCTACCCTGAGCCAATCCACGTAAACCACTTAGCACAGTTCCCTGGCACACAGCAAGGCTGCGATTCTTGTGAGCTATTGTTATTTTTATTGTTATTAAGATGACACTGATATCTCCTTTAACCCTTGGCTTTGATGCCCTTTGACCATTGCTTCCTCCTGCAAGGATCTTCTACCCTCCCCTCAATCTCCTGAGGGACCCCAAGCCTGGGCTCACTGGCAGATGGCCAAGGAGAGGGTCTGGGACAGGAACTCTGGGGCTCTGAGTCTTCCAGAAAAGGAGAAGGGCAATGTGTCCTGTGGGGCCACTACAGAGAGGTCCAGAGACCCCCATGTTGAGAGTCTCCCAGGCCTGGGGCTAGAGGAGGGAAGACATCCTGGGCACCCCACTATGGCCCTGGGAGTTGTGTTCCCACTCTGGTCTGAGGGCTGTGGCTCTCTCCTGCCCATGAACCAGGAGCGGGTTGGTTTAAACGAAATTGACTCGAAACTCATTCTTTCTGGGCTCCTGACAAGGGGTGGTGTTTGGGAGCCGGCTCAGCTTTAGCAGATTTTAAGTGTCTCAGTTCCCTTAATGTACTCATCTGCATTATTCATTCCTAGGCCAGGTTGCAGGGAAGCCCACCCCTCAGTGCTGGCCCTACAGCCAGGCTTTGGTCGCCCCCATCTCCCCACAATGCCCTCTGGAGGGGCTGCCCTTGTCCCCGGGGGCCCCAGTTCTCCCTCTCTGGTCATGGCCAGGTGCTGGCTCAAGCAGCTGTGGCTGTTGGGACCCACTGTTTCTGGAAATGCTCCCCTGCCCCCCGCCACCTGCCTTGCCCAGCCCAGAGTCACCCAGAGAGAAGCTGGTGGGAGACTTACCCCAAACTCAGTCACGAGGATATCGGTGATGCTGCCCAGAACAGTCACAAAGTCGAAGATGTTCCAGGCATCGCGGAAATAATTCTAGAATGGGGACCCACAAGACAAGAGATGCCAACAGAGGGCTTGGTTCCCGCCCCCCCTAGGCTGGCCGGGGGCATGTTAGAGGCACAGCTGCCAATCAGCGGAGTGCCCGGGATAGTTGTGGTTGTTCAAAGGGCTGCGGTAAAGGCTGTTCAACATCATCTGTGCTGAGTCTCCCTCCCTGGGAACCCCTGGGGACCTTCCCATGATTGGCCTGGCCCCAGAGGGGGCCTCCAGTCCCTGCTTCAGCTCCATGGGGCTGGGGCTGCTCTTCAGAGCTGTGGCTTATCTCTCCAGCATTTTTGAGGGCTCCCGAGACCCCAGGGGCTTTATAAATGACATCATTGAGATCCTCATGAAGATCCTGGAGGGAATGGTTATCACCCATTTTCTTTTTCTGTTTTCTTTTTTTTTTTGAGATGGAGTCTCACTCTGTCGCCCAGGCTGGAGTGCAGTGGCGCGATCTTGGCTCACTGTAACCTCTGCCTCCTGCGTTCAAGCAATTCTCCTGCCTCAGCCTCCCAAGTAGCTGGGACCACAGGTACATGCCACCACACCCAGCTAATTTTTGTATTTTTAGTAGAGACGGGGTTTCATCATGTTGGTCAGGCTGGTCTCGAACTCCTGACCTCAAGTGATCTGCCCACCTCGGCCTTCCAAAGTGTTGGGATGACAGGTGTGAGCCACCGCTCCCAGCTATACCCATTTTCTAGGAGGTGACCAAGCCACTCATCTGCCTGAGGCTAGCAACACAGAGATGTAAAGCCAGGATTTGAACCCAGGCCTCAGAGAGCCCACAGTCTGTTCAGGACCCCACTAGGTTGGCAGCATACTCGAGAAGAAAGGAGACTCTGGGTTCAAATCCCAACTCTGCAACCAGAGCTGTGTGGCTATGGGCAAGTGGCTTAACCTCTCTGGGTCTCCATTTCCTGATCTGGAGGAGGATAGTAACAGGGTACAGAACAGGAACTGGACAGGGGGCTTTGGGGCCTTTCAGGCACATGCACTTCCTGGCCCCCTTGTGTTTAGACGGGGCCGTGTGTGTCTAGGTGCAGCGATGTGCTGTGAGTGGAAGCAGTGTGGTCACTTTCTGGTCAGCATTGGCCTCTCTAGCCTCTCAACCCTGGGCTTGGCGACCAGTAACATTTCAAATGGCAGCTACTCTGTGAGGCTGGGTCCCTGAGTAACTGTGAGGCAAACAGCTTCCCTGCTGAGTGTAAAAAAAACCTTCCCATCAATTTAAGTCACTGGATGTGGGGGCTGTTTGTTACTACAGCTTCACATGATCTATCCTGACTGCTACATTCCTGGGCTGGGTGCTGGCTCAAGGGGAAACACAAGCATAGCCTTTCTGTTGCTAAAATATGGAAATACTCCACATTGTTTGGAAAACAGTCACAGCCTTAAGTCCCACAAGGTCTCCTCCTATCCTCCTATCTCTGACTCCCCTCAACTGGGTACTGACATGGTGATGGATGGCATCCCAGTCTGGACCCAAGAGTCTGGGTCAAAGAGATGGCCCTCCCCTCTGGGGTCAGTGGGACTCAAAACACAAAACACAGGGCCTTCTCAGCATCTTCGCAGAGGCAGAGGCCAGGTCAGGGGTTGGGGTGGTCAGTGTGACCCTGAAGTAGCCCCTCCACCTTACAGAGAAGGAGCCTGACTTTAGAGCTGTGCTTCCCTCCTAGTTGAAGTGCCTGGGGCCTCTGCACCCTTCTCTGGGAGGCAGCAGTAACACAGCAATCAGACAATGAATGTGGGTCGCCCGAGCATGGAATATACAGTAGGTGCTCAACAGATGGGATGTTGTTGTTTCTCAACTGCCTATAAAACGAATTCAGGGGGCTGGGTGCGGTGGCTCACACCTGTAATCCCAGAACTCTGGGAGGCCGAGGCAGGTGGATCATGAGGTTAGGAGATCAAGACCATCCTGGCTAACACAGTGAAACCCCATCTCTACTAAAAATACAAAAAAAAAAAAAAAAAAAAAAATTAGCCAGGCGTGGTGGCAGGCGCCTGTAGTCCCAGCTACTCGGGAGGCTGAAGCAGGAGAATGGTGTGCACCTGGGAGGCAGAGCTTGCAGTGAGCAGAGATTGCACAACTGCACTCCAGCCTGGGCCACAGTGCGAGACTCCGTAAAAAAAAAAAAAAGGAATTCAGGTCCTACTGGCACTTTTGGCATTTTGGCAGATGTTGTTCGGGCCCTGCGCATATCTCATCTGCACATCTACAGTACATTACTTGGCCCAGGGTCTCTCTCTGGCTGCACATGTGTTAGGGAATTAACAGCTCCCCTGGGAATGGCCTTTGATTATGTCTGACGGGCACTGGAGGATAAATACCCCAACTCCTTCCCTGTGAGGTGGGATGACTGTGCTATGTGCTCTCTGCTGCCTCCTGGAGGTCCCTACTGAAACTGAGCCCCGTTTGTCCACAGCAGGAACTGGCTTAATAATACACTCTTTCCTGGTTGCCTTTCTGTCCCCGTATCTCTTTCCCTGTCCCTTACTGCCTTGCATCCCAGATAAATTCCTTGCACCGGCTTGTCTCAGGCTCTGCTTCCGTGGGAGCCCAAACAAAGACAGCTTTATAGGCATTTGGTCACAGACCTCAACCCCTAGGCTAGAGAGCTCCCCTCTATCTCCCGAATGTTACACGGGGAACTTGTGGCTTCATTTAAAACTGAAAGGGGAGACCAGACATGGTGGCTCATGCCTATAATTCCAGCACTTTGGAAGGCCAAGGAGGGACAACAGAGTTTCGCTCTGTCGCCAGGCTGGAATGCAGTGGCCTGGTCTCGGCTCACTGCAACCTCCACTTCCCATGTTCAAATGATTCTCCTGCCTCAGCCTCCCGAGTAGCTGAGACTACAGGCATGCGCCACCATGCCCAGCTAATTTTTGTAGTTTTTAGTAGAGATGGGGTTTCACCATGTTGGCCAGGGTAGTCTGGATCTCTTGACCTCGTGACCGTCCGCCTCTGCCTCCCAAAGTGCTGGGATTACAGGTGTGAGCCACTGTGCCCAGCCAGCTATAATACTTTTGTGTGTATTCTGTGAACCCCCTTGGCCACGTGAGACTAGCCCTGGCTATTTTATTTTATGCATAAAGACTTGTAAATGCATAACAAAACGGCCAGGACTGAAAGGTTACCTTTTATAATAGCTATCAAAATATTTTTTAAGGCTGGGCACAGTGTCTCATGCCTGTAATCCCAGCATTTTGGGAGGCCGAGGCAGGCAGATTGCTTGAGGCCAGGAGTTTGAGACCAGCTTGGCCAACATGGTAAAACCCTGTCTCTACTAAAAATACAAAAATTAGCTGGGCATGCTTGTGTGCGTCTGTAGTCCCAGCTACTCAGAAGGCTGAGATGGGAGAATCACCTGAATCCAGGAGGTGGAGGTTTCGGTGAGCCAAGATTATGCCCCTGCACTCCAGTTTAGACAACAGAGTAAGACTCTGTCTCAAAAAAAAAAAAAAAAAAAGTTTTAAAAATGGCGATCTAGGCTGGGCGCGGTGGCGCACGCCTGTAATCCCAGCACTTCAGGAGGCCGAGGAGGGCGGATCACAAGGTCAGGAGATCAAGACCGTGGTGAAATCCTGTCTTTACTAAAAATACAAAAAATTAGCCGGGTGCGGTGGCGGGTGCCTGTAGTCCCAGCTACTCAGGAGGCTGAGGCAGGAGAATGGCGTGAACCCGGGAGGCGGAGCTTGCAGTGAGCTGAGATCACGCCACTGCATTCCAGCCATGGGGACAGAGCAAGACTCTGTCTCAAAAAAAAAAAAAAAAAAAAAAGGTGATGTAACAATGAATACACTTCATTAACACACTGAATAAAAAGGTTTAATCACAAGCAGTATTTTAAAGCAATGATGAATGCAAATTAAATGTTAAGGTATCTGCAGCCCTTATAATGCAGTATGAAAACATCTGATGTTTGTAAGTGACACAGGTCATGTTGCTAATATTAACGGTTGATAATACTAATAACCCTTGTTGTCTCCCTTTAAGATGGAAGGAAATGTTAAAATTTAGTTATTGGCTGGTGAAAAATAAAGATGTATTTTTTTTAGTATCATTATTTTTTTGAGACTCGCTCTTGCTCAGGCTGGAGTGCAGTGGTGTGATCTCAGCTCACTGCGGCCTCCACTTCCTGGGTACAAGCGATTCTCCTGCTTCAGCCTCCTGGGAAGGTGGGATTACAGGCACCCATAAGCACGCCAGGCTAATTTTTTGTATTTTTAGTAGAGATAGGGTTTTGCCATGTTGGCCAGGGTGGTCTCGAACTCCTGGGCTCAAGTGATTTGCCCGCCTCTGCCTCCCAAAGTGCTGGGATTACAGGTGTGAGTCACTGTGCCCGACCTCTGTGTTTCTTTTTTAAACGTGGAGTCTTGCTGTTGCCCAGGCTGGGGTGCAGTGGCATGACCTTGGCTCACAGCAACCTCTACCTCCTGGGCTCAAAATACCTTCCCACCTCAGCCTCCCGAGTAGCTGGGACTACAGGCACGAGTTACCATGCCTGGCTAACTAAATTTTTTTTTTTTTTTTTTGTAGGGACAGGGGCTTGCTTTGCTGCCCAGGCTGGTTGAGAACTCCCTAGCTTCAAGTGATTCCTCTGCCTTGGCCTCCTGAAGCACTAGGATTATAGGCATGAGCCACTGTGCTCAGCCTGATTTCAGTTTTCTTTCATTTTTTTTTTTTTTTTGAGACAGAGTTTCACTCTTGTTGTCCAGGCTGGAGTGCAGTGGCGTGATCTCGGCTCACTGCAACCTCTGCCTCCCAGGTTCAAGCGATCCTCCTGCCTCAGCCTCCCAAGTAGCTGGGATTACAGGCATGCGCCACCACACCTGGCTAATTTTGTATTTTTAGTAGAGACAGAGTTTCTCCATGTTGGGCAGGCTGGTCTCCAACTCCCAACCTCAGGTGATCCGCCCACCTCGGCCTCCCAAAGTGTTGGAATTACAGCCATGAGCCACCTCGCCCAGCCTGATTTCAGTCTTCTTATCTCTAAAATGGATGCTAACAACTCCCAGCATGATGACTTCTATCATTTTGAGGAACTGAATACATAAGCAGCCATATAGTAACACTCATGTGTTGGGTCTCCCTGGGAGACACTCCTTGGCAAACACAAGAATGCCTAAGTAGGATCTGTGGCCACTGGCAGGATGCCGAAGCCACCCTTGAGGTTGGGGGTCTTGGGGCCATGTGGGGAGACCATCGTCAGCACCCATTGCTCCCCCTTGGACTTCTCCCAAGCCAATAGCTGTAGCCCCAAGGTGGTACTTACCAGAATCCCAAAAGCCATGACCTTCAGCACACATTCCAGAGAGAAGAGGGAGGTGAAGACGATGTTGAACACCCTCAGGGCATTTTCATAAGCAACAGAAGCCCCATAGAACTAGGGGGAAAGAAGCAGGAGTGGCAGGGGTCAGTGAGCAGGGGTGGGAAGTGGGAAGTGGGGAGGCAGCTTCATGGCTGTTCTCCAGGCAACACTCTGGCCCCAGGCAAGGGCTGAGCAATCTCACTGTTGGGAGGCATAGTTCAGGAAAGCCCAGCTCTCCGCTGGATTAGGCTCTTCTTTTCACATGAAAAAAACAAAAACTTTCCCCTGCCCCTTTTTTTTTTTTTTTGATAGACGGGGTCTTCCTGTTTTGCCCAGGCTGGGCTCGAACTCACAATCCTCCTACCTTAGCCTCCTGATAGTTGGGACTATAGGCATACACCATTGTGCCTGGCTGAATTATACTTTTTCTTTCCTTTTTTTTTTTTTTTTTTTTTTGAGAACAAGTCTTACTCTGTCGCCCAGGCTGGAGTGCAGTGGCACGATCTTGGCTCACTGCAGGCTCCGCCTCCCGGGTTCACGCCATTCTCCTGCCTCAGCCTCCCAAATAGCTGGGACTACAGGTGCCTGCCATCACGCCCAGCTAACTTTTTGTATTTTTAGTAGAGACGGGGTTTCTCCGTGTTAGCCAGGATAGTCTCGATCTCCTGACCTCGTGATCCGCCTGCCTCGACCTCCCAAAGTGCTGGGATTACAGGCGTGAGCCACTGTGCCCGGCCTCCTTATTTTTTTTGAGACCGAGTCTCACTCTGTCACCCAGGCTGGAGTGCAGTGGTGTGATCTCAGCTCACTGCAACTTCTGCCTCCTGGGTTCAAGCCATTCTCATGCCTCAGCCTCTCAAGCAGCTGGGATTGTAGGCGTGTGCCATCATGCCCAGCTAATTTTTGTATTTTTAGTAGAGACAGGATTTCATCATATGGGCTAGGATGGTCTCAAACACCTGGTCTCAAGTGATCTGCCTGCCTCGACCTCCCAAAGGGCTGGGATTACAGGTGTGAGCCACTGCGCCTGGCCACTATGATTGTTTTTGAAGTGCCAAGAAGGCGCTAAGGTCCTTGCATCAACTTTCTCATTCCATCCTCTCACCTCCTCTGGAGGGGGCAAAGGTGCTATTATTATCATTCCCATTTTATTGACAGGGAACCGAGTCCCCAGAAAGTCACTGGTTACTTGCGCAAAGTTAAATGAATGAAATGACAGAGCTGGGCTTGAATCCATGCTTTGGAGTCCAAAGCACAGGGTGAAAGGTTTTCAGAGTTTTTTTTTTTCCCGAGACGGAGTCTCGCTCTGTCGCCCAGGCTGGGGCGCAGTGGCCAGATCTCAGCTCACTGCAAGCTCCGCCTCCTGGGTTTACGCCATTCTCCTGCCTCAGCCTCCCGAGTAGCTGGGACTACAGGCGCCCGCCACCTCGCCCAGCTAGTTTTTTGTATTTGTTAGAAGAGACGAGGTTTCATCATGTTAGCCAGGATGGTCTTGATCTCCTGACCTCGTGATCCACCCGTCTCGGCCTCCCAAAGTGCTGGGATTACAGGCTTGAGCCACCGCGCCCGGCCTCAGAGTTTTTTTTGGAAGCAGCTCCTTGTCCCTGGGGATTTCAGGGCCCTCGCCTACCCCTCCTCCCTCATTTCTATTTCTTTTTCTTTTCTTTTCTTTCTTTTTTTTTTTTGAGACGGAGTCTCGCTCTTGTTGCCCAGGCTGGAGTGCAATGGCGTGATCTCGGCTCACAGCAACCTCCGCCTCCCAGGTTCAAGCGATTCTCCTGCCTCAGCCTCCTGAGTAGCTAGGATTACAGATGCGCACCACTATGCTCGACTGATTTTGTATTTTTAGTAGAGATGGAGTTTCTCCACGTTGGTCAGGCTGGTCTCGAACTTGCGACCTCAGGTGATCTGCCCGCCTCGGCCTCCTAAAGTTCTGGGATTACAGGCATGGGCCACCGCACCCAGCTCCCTCATTTCATTAATCAAACATTTATAGAGAGCTTCTTGTTCTGTCTGAGCCAGATCCTTGTTGGACTCTAGGAATTCAGGGGTGAGGTCCTCACAAGTGGGTGGGGGACACCGTCGTGCAACCTGATGCTGATTTTTGTGGTAGGCGACATAAAGATAGGATGCCTGCTAAGAAAGGCACCTCAAGCAGTCTTGGGTGGTCAGGGAAGGCTTTCTGGAGGAAGAGGTCTGCAGGTACAGCTGGGAAGAAGCAGCTGGCCAGGGGGAGTGGTGGGAACTGTGTGGTAGAGGGAACAGCAAGAAAAAAATCTCAGAGGTGATCCAGAATGTGGTCTGTCTGGGAAACCGCAGATGGTTTCATTTTACGAGGGTAGAGGCAGGAACGAGGTGGGGCTTAAGCAGTGCTGGGGTTGGTGTAGGGCGCTTACCTTCATCATAAGCACGATGGTGTTGAGGGCGATCATGGCCATGATCGTGTACTCGAAAGGCGGAGACACCACAAACTGCCACATGCGGTACTGGAAGCTCTGCTTGTTCTGTGGCATGTGCCGGGTCAGCGGCTTGGCGCTGATGGCGAAATCGATGCAAGCCCTCTGCGGGAGAGAGGCCAGTGGTGAGAGTGGCAGAGGCAGCAGGAAGGTGGCTGTATACCGGGCACCCTCTGTCTAACTCGTCGTGGTTCTCAAGTGCTTCTGCTTGAGTCTCTGCTTCTCTTGCCCCCAGCCAGGATTCCTGGGCTCCCTCCTCCTTCTCACCATTGCTTTCTTTCTTTTTTTTTTTTTGAGACAGAGTCTTACTGTGTCACCCAGGCTGGAGTGCAGTGGCACGAACGGCTCACTGTAACATCCACCTCCCGGGTTCACGCCATTCTCCTGCCTCAGCCTCCTGAGTAGCTGGGACTACAGGTGCCCGCCACCACGCTCGGCTAATTTTTTTGTACTTTTAGTAGAGACAGGGTTTCACTGTGTTAGCCAGGATGGTCTCGATCTCCTGACCTCCTGATCCGCCTGTCTCAGCCTCCCAAAGTGCTGGGATTATAGGTGTGAGCCACCGCGCCTGGCCCTCACCATTGCTTTCTTATCCTAACAGCTACGGTTGCTTGAAACGTCACCATTTGCCAATTTTGCACTGACATTTCCCCATTATTGCATGGCTAATGCAAACATGGGAAGTGGGTACTATCAATGACCTCACTTTGCAGATGACAAAAATAGAGGCTTAGAGAGGTTAAACCACTTGCCTGAGGTGACACAGCTACCAAGTGTGCCAAATCAAACTGAAGCCTAATCCTTCTTTCCCTCCCTCCCTCCTTCATTCCCTTTTTCCTTCCTTCCCTTCATTCCTTCCTCCCTTTCCCCTTTCCTTTCCTTTCTCTTCTTCCTTCTTTCCTTCCCTCCCTTTCTTTCTCCTTCCTTCTTTTCCTCCCTCCCTCTCTCCTTCCCTCCCTCCCTTCTTTCTCTTTCTCTCTCTTTCCTTCCTTCCTTCCTTCCTTCCTTCCTTCCTTCCTTCCTTCCTCCCTCCCTCCCTCCCTCCCTCCTTCCCACTCTCCCTCCCTCCCTCCTTCCTTCTTTTCTTTTTTCTTTTTCTTTTTTTTTTTGACAGGGGCTTGCTTTGTCACCTAGGCTGGAGTGCAGTGCAATCACAGCTCACTGCAGCCTTGACCTCCTGGGCTCAAGTGATCCTCCCACTTCAGCCTCCTGAGTAGCTGGGACTACAGGCATGCACCACCACACCCAGCTAATTAAAACTTTTTTTTTTTAATCATAGAGATGGGGTATCACTATGTTGCTCAGGCTGTTCTTGAACTCCTGGGCTCAAGCAATCCTCCTGCCTTGGCCTCCTAAAGTGTTAAGATTATAGGCGTGAGCCACTGCGCCCAGCCCATTCTTTCTTACTGAATACTTTGCTGCTGCTGCTTCTCTTCAAGGGAGAGAGAGGGAGGAATAGTGGTTATTAAGTCTTAAGGGTCAAGGGAGCAGAGGATATATTCTAGGTCCTCTATTTAGCTTGAATGATGCCAGAGAGGCAAAGAGTCATGTCTATACTCTCTGGTAGACTGGGGACTGGATTTTCTTTCCTTTTCTTTTTTTGAGACAGGGTCTTGCTCTGTTGCCCAGGCTGGAGTGCACTGGCATGATGATAGCTCACTGCAGCCTCGAACTCCCAAGCTCAAGCGTCCTCCCACCTCAGCCTCCCATGTTACTGGGACTAAAGGTGTGCACCATCATGCCTGGCTATTTTTTTTTTGATTTGTAGTAGAGATGGGGTCTTGCTGTGTTGGCCAGGCTGGTCTCAAACTCCTACGCTCAAGTGAGCCTCCTGCCTCAGTTTCCCAAAATGTTGGGATCACAGGTGTGAGCCACCACACCTGGCTTGGCTTTTCATTCATAAATATTCATCACCCTTCACTAGGGGAGATCGTATTTCCCCACTCCACTGACATCAGAATGGATGTGTGACTTGCTTTGGCTGACGAAATGTGAGCAGAAGTGACGTGTGTCATTTTTGAGCACAAGCACGAAGAGCTGAGCCTCAGTCTGACATACTCTCTTTTTTGTCTGGAGCATCTCAGAGGGAGGCTGCTCTGCTGCTCTGCCAGCCTGGGAACCAGAATAAAGATGACAAGCAGAAGATCCACAACTGATCTCGACATGCAGTGTGAGCAAAAAGTAAGTCCCTTTGTGGATATTTGGCAATGAAATCTGGGGTTGCTTGTTACTGTGGCACAACCCAGACTAAACTGACTGATACATACACTATATGACCTGTTTCCTCTGGAACTCCATGAAGGACTGCCCTGAAGCCCTAAATTTGGTTTGGAGGATGCTTCTGTTCTCTCCCCCAGGTACCCCTAGAAACGGGTTCCTGGGTGTTGTGTGTGTGTGTTTTAAAGTTTGTGTCCCCAGTTTTTAAAGGACAGATGGAATTGGAAGTGGCACCTCATTTTTCTCCAGGCTGTATTCCTCCATCATCTTGTCCCCTTGCTCCTGGAAGGTGATGATGATCAAGGCCACAAAGATATTGACAAAGAAGAAGGGGAACACCACAAAGTAGACGACGTAGAAAATGGACATCTCCATGCGGTACCCGGGGCTGGGGCCCTGGTTCTCAAAGGTGGCGTCCACTGAGTGCTTGAGGACCCTGAAAGGAATGGGGCAGGGAGAGGGAAGGAACAGGAAGGAGAGGAACAAGGACCCAAGGGGTGATAAGGAAGGTGGAGAGAGGGTGGAAGTAAGATGGTGGAACAGGAACAGAGGGAAATGAAAAAGAAATTTAAGTAGTTACTGTTTTTTGAAAGCTTGACAACAATGTCAGTTATTTCTTAATTTTAACTTTTTTTTTTTTGTATTTTTAGTAGAGACAGGGTTTCACCATGTTAGCCAGGATGGTCTTGATCTCCTGACCTCGTGATCTGCCCGCCTCGGCCTCCCGAAGTGCTGGGATTACAGGCATGAGCCACCGTGCCTGGCCCAATTTTAATTTTTTGAGATGGAGTTTTGCTCTCTTTGCCCGGGCTGGAGTGCAATGGCGCGATCTCATCTCACTACAACCTCCACCTCCCAGGTTCAAGCGATTCTCCTGCCTCAGCCTCCTAAGCAGCTGGGATTACAGACATGCACCACCATGCCTGGCTAATTTTTTTGTATTTTTAGTAGAGACGGGGTTTCACCATGTTGGTCAGGCTGGTCTTGAACTCCTGACCTCAGGTGATCCACCTGCCTCGGCCTCCCAAACTGCTGAGATTACAGGTGTGAGCCACCATGCTCAGCCAATGTCAATTATTTCTACTTCTGTGCATGAAGCTCTTGCTGTGTGCTGGAAACAATATTCAACGTTTCATTTCCGCCTGCTCAGCAACCCTCTCAGGGAGGTTATTACTGGCTCCAGTTTGCATACGAGGAAACTGAGGTTCAGCAATTTAAAGGGACGTGCTGAAGATCACCCACTTAGAAGTGGCCAAGTTAGGATTTAAAGACAGGTTGTGGCAATGGAGGGAGTGGAGGTGGGTGTATGAATGTGGAGTGGGTATTTGAGCACAGGTGGTGGTGGGTGCTGAGGAGGTGCAATGAGGATATGTATGAGAGTAGGTAAGTGCACAGCAGCTCTGTACAGTTGTGCAGGTTGTGCACTGCTCAAAGGCTGTGTCTAAGTGTTACCTTCACATGATAGGCATGATAGATTTGTGTATTCATGATGACAATTTTTTGGCAGGTGGCCCTCCAGTGCCTTGTTTGAACAAAATCATTTAAGTCTATTGCGATGATTTTCAGACAGATGGAAGTGAAGTCTGTCGAGAAAGGGGTGTTTTAAAAAACTGCTCAAAGGGGCCTTGTGGGTTAGCACTACTCCCATGTGTGTGAGTACTGGATGTGTGTGAGGGTGGGCAGAAGGGCATGTTCAGGTTGGCATATTTGCTGAGAGAGGGAGGGAGGTGAGGATAATGAGGGTACATGCTGGAATCTACCAAGCTTCTGGCCTGGCATTTCCAGACCTCTGAAAGGAAGACTACGACTTGGACAAGGTGAGGGAGGGAGGCACTTTTTTGGGTGCGAATTAAGGGGGTACTGAAAATCTCAGTCATCAAGATAATCTTTTGCTCCAATATTTTTAAAAATCAAAATTAATGCAAAAAGTCCATGATGAAAAAATACCAATTTCTTCTTCTTTTTGTTTTTTGAGATGGGGTCTCCTTCTGTTGTCCAGGCTGGAGTACAATGGCACAATCACAGCTCACTGCAGCCTTAAACTCCTAGGCTCAAGCAATCCTCCCACCTCAGCCTTCTGAGTAGCTGGGATAACAGGTACGAGCCAGCACAAATGGCTCAAAATTTTAAATAAAGATGAAGTCCATGATTCAGCCTCACCGGTTTTTTTTTTTTTTTTTTTTTTTTGCGGGGTGGGGAGGAGGCCATAGTTTTGCTCTGTCACCCAGGATGAAGTGCAGTGGCGCAATCTCGGCTCACTGCAACCTCTGCCTCCTGGGTTCAAGGGATTCGCGTGTCTCAGTCTCCTGAGTAGCCGGGACCACAGGTGTGAGCCACCATGCCTGGCTGTTTTTTGTTTGTTTGTTTTGTATTTTTAGTATTTTTAGAGTTTTGCCATGATGGTCAGGCTGATCTCAAACTCCTGGCCTCAAGCAATACACCTGCCTTGGCCTCCTAAAGTGTTGGGATTACAGGCGTGAGCCACCATGCCTGGCTTCCAAGACCTTTCTTATTGCTAAGCTCTCAGGCCCTTTATCCTCCTGCTCCCTGGGGTTCCTCCTGGGTAAGTTTCTAGTTGGGCCACTTACTGTGGCCAGCCTTCTCCCGTGGACACGGTGAAGAGGGTCAGCAGAGCCCACAGCACGTTGTCGTAATGGAATTCATACTTCTTCCACTCCCGATCTCGCGCCTTCACCTCATTCTTCTCGTAGAGGAGGTATTTGCCTCTGCCACAGAGAGTGGGGACTGTTAGCAAACGGGAAAGAGGGGCTGCCTTGCACTTGTCTTTGGTTATCAGGGACTGGGGGAGGGAAAAGAAGAGGGGTCCACCAGCCTAGGCTGCGTCCCTCAGCCTGGGAAGCAGTGGCTCCCCACCCTGCCGCCATGTGTCCCTGTGCTTCATGGGGGATTACGTGTGCATCTACTTCGAGATAAATCCATGGGTGATGGCACAACCTTACTCCTGGTGGGAGAGCTGACCCAGGGTCCAACACTTCCAACGTGATAACTTCTAGTCCTCGGGGTGAGAGCCTCAGGCTGGCTGGGGGTGGGGTGGGGGGAGTTTAGGAGGAGGCAGAGAGGCACAGTGGACATTTACAGGTTCATCAGGCTAAGGGAGGTTGCTACTCCTTTTCAAGGCAGGAAACAAGGGTTAGTTCCAGACTCCTACCCAGACATCTGGCATCCTCCTAATTTCAATAAATAGCCATCAAGATAACAACAGGCTATCATGTGTTGCAAAATGCCACTTTACACTGGTAACAATATCACTATATATACACATACATATATACACACACCCACACATATATATGTATTGTGTATGTGTATATATATGTGTGTGTATGTGTGTGTGTGTGTGTGTATATATATATATATTTTTTTTTTTGAGACAGAGTCTCGCTCTGTTGCCCAGGCTGGAGTACAGTGGCCCAATTTGGGCTCACTGCTAGCTCTGCCTCCCGGGTTCATGCCATTCTCCTGCCTCAGCCTCCCGAGTAGTTGGGACTACAGGCATCTGCCACCATGCCCAGCTAGTTTTTTGTATTTTTAGTAGAGACGGGGTTTCACCGTGTTAGCCAGGATGGTCTCGATCTCCTGACCTTGTGATCCACCTGCCTTGGCCTCCCAAAGTGCTGGGATTACAGGTGTGAGCCACCGCGCCCAGCCTATATGTATATATTTTTGAAAGGCAGGGTCTCACTCTGTCACGAAGGCTTGAGTGCAGTGGTACCATCATAGTGCATTGCAGCCTTGAACTCCCATGTTTAAACAATCCTCCCGCCTCAGCCTCCCAGGTAGCTGGGACTACAGGTGTGTGCTACCATGCCCTGCTAACTTTTAAAATTTATTTTGTAGGGATGGGCTCTCATTATGTTGCCCAACCTGGTCTCCAACTCCTGGCCTCAAGTAATCCTCCCACCTCAGCCTCCCAAAGTGCTGGAATTACAGGTGTGAGCCACTGCACCTGGCCTCTTACCTAACTTCTTTGGCAATGAAACCTGATCTGATCGGACATGAAGCTCTTTATACTTGTTATTTACTCCATTTGGTGTGAATACACATTTTATGGCAGAAATATTGTGTTTGATTATAGGGCTGCCTTAGACCCAGCTGAGGATGTCATGTCCAACATGGGATGTACACAGTCCAACCTTTCTAAAATCTCAAAATATTCTCAACTTTGAAACACATCTGCCTGTGAAGATTTCAAGTAAGGAACTGTGGGCGTGTATTAATATCCCTCACATGACAAGGGCGGTGACTGAAAGGTCAAGCAATTTGCTTATGACTCATCCTGTGGCTATGGGTGGTGACTCAAATTCTAAAACCGGTTTTCTTTCTACCCAAGATCCAAGCTGGTTGCAACTGAGTCACTCCCAAGGCTCACCACTTCTCCAGTCTCTGAGCCCAAGTGGCCGATGCCTCTAGCCACTTCCCCCCTGCCCACCTGCTAGTTCCATGGGAATGTGCCAGAAAGCTGAGACCCACCGACAATCTTTCTCAAACTCCTTGGACTCGTCAGTGCAGTGGAAGAACTTCCCCTTGAAGAGCTGCACGGCCACCACGGCGAAGATGAACATGAATAGCATGTAGACGATGAGGATGTTGAAGACGTTTTTAAGCGAGTTCACCACACAATCAAACACAGCCTGTGGGGTGGGGTTGACAGAGAACATGAGGGGCTGGGGACCTGCCCAACTTTCTGCCTCCAGTGGCCCATAACACCAGAATACTGCCGTTATCATTCCCTTTTTTTTTTTTTTTTTTTTTTTTTTTTGGAGATGGAGTCTTGCTCTGTCACCCAGGCTGGAGTGCAGTGGCACGATCTCAGCACTCGCTGCAAGCTCTGTCTCCCAGGTTCACGCCATTCTCCTGCCTCAGCCTCCCGAGTAGCTGGGCCTACAGGTGCCCACCACATTTTTTATATTTTTAGTAGAGACGGGGTTTCACCGTGGTCTCGATCTCCCGACCTCGTGATCTGCCCGCCTTGGCCTCCCAAAGTGCTGGGATTACAGGCGTGAGCCACCACGTCCAGCCACTATCATTCCCATTTTACATGCAAGGTCATAAGTCAAGTCCCTAGGGTAAGGCCCCCCAGCTTTCAGAAACAAGTGTTGGAGAAGTTGGACTCAATCCTGGCATTCTATGGATCTAAAACTCCCAAATGGGATACCAGAGATGCTTTTAAGTGATACAAAGTGAGCCCAACACAGAAAAACAAGGTAACAAACTTACTTCCTCTCCAACTCTCTCGGTCCTTTTGAGTGAAGGAGAAATTGCTACTGTGTTAACACCTACCATTGACACTTTCCCTCTTTAACCAAGAAAGAGCAGTTGTCAATGCTCAAAACCTTGGGCAGGCACCATATTTGGTTACATTTCAGTAACAGTATCTGTTTTCTTCTTTAATTTTTAATAGAGACAGAGTCTAACTATGTTGCCCAGGCTGGTCTCATTCTCCTGGGCTCAAGCAATACTCCTGCCGTGGTCTTCCAAAATGCAGGGATTACAGGTGTAATTTGATTTAAAGAAACGTATTACATAAGAGATAATATTGGGGACCCTCAGGTGAAGCATACACTGAAAGCGGGTGCTCTAATGACTGGATTTTATTTTCTTTAATTTTTTTTCTTTTTCAGTGACAGACTTTTGGGAAATGCTGGTTCATGCTATTTTGGAATGGGAGATATTAGAGCCTAGAAAAGGTAGATGAAAAGTCAAAATTTTATGGAACAAGAAATCTAGTTCCTGCTTCCCAGATCACGAATATACCCTTTTAAATCCATATGATGCTTTCATGTGAATTAGGAAAAGGGATCTTAACTATGAGACATTTCATCTAAAGAAAAATTGTCATAATACACAGATTATTTTAGATCAGCTCACTTTACTGCCATCTGCTGGGAAGTTATAATAATACAAATATCCATATACAATGGCTAGGATGTTATCAGCACCTCCTTTAATGTGTTGTCCTTGAGCAGTGCGCAACCTGCTCAACTGTACATGATAACCGTGACAGTCCCCCCACCCCACCCCACCATCTCTCAATCTCACCTTGAGCTTTGGCAACCGCTTGATGGTTTTAAGAGGTCGTAGCACCCGGAGGACTCGGAGGGATTTAATCGTGTTGATGTCTTTTCCTTTGCTATTGCCACTGTGGAGGAATGTTAGGGTGGGGAAAAGGGAAGAGAGGAAGCAGAGGTCAGGTTGGGTAGGGGGCAGCCCACAGCTCCATGGGACCCTACCCTCCCAGGCCTAGAAGTCAGGGGTGAGCTTAGCACAGCCCTGCCCTTCCTGGTGAAGAGTGGTCTATTTCACCTGTTAAGCTTGGGCTCAGGAGCCAGTAAGTAGGTGTCTTTTTGTGGTTCTGGTCCCAGGGTTGGTTGAGGGCCCTTTGCCATCTGGCTGGGCCTGAGCAGCTGCATGGAGTATCCCTGAGACCCAGCACAAGGGGGTTGGCTGATTCCCCACCCCCATTTCTGCATAGCTTTTCTTCTTTTTTTTTTTTTTTTTTTTTTTTTGAGACAGGGTTTGGCTCTGTCACCAAGGCTGGAGTGCAGTGGCACGATCTCGACTCACTGCAACCTCCGCCTCCTGGGCTAAAGCCATCCTCCCACCTCAGCCTCCCAAGTAGCTGGGTCTACAGGCACATGCCACTGCACCCGGCTAATGGTTTTGTCTTTTTTGTACAGATGGGGTTTCACCACGTTGCCCATGCTGGTTTCAAACTCCTCAGTTCAAGCAGTCTGCCCTCCTCACCCTCCCAAAGTGCTGGGAATACAGGTGTGAGCCAGGGTGCCTGGTCACAGCTCTTTTTCTTTCTTTCTTTCTTTTTCTTGAGACGGAGTCTTGCTCTGTCACCCAGGCTGGGGTGCAGTGGCGCAATCTTGGTTCACTGCAAGCTCCACCTCCCAGGTTCACGCCGTTCTCCTGCCTCAGCCTCCCAACTAGCTGGGACTACAGGCACCCGCCACCACACCCGGCTAATTTTTTTGAATTTTTAGTAGAGACGGGGTTTCACCATGTTAGCCAGGATGGTCTCGATCTTCTGACCTCATGATCCACCCATCTCGGCCTCCCAAAGTGCTGGGATTACAGGCGTGAGCCACTGCACCTGGCCCCACTGTGTATTCTTTTTAAAAGTGGTATCAGTGGGCTCTTCAAAAAATGGGATTTTCTCCCCCTTCCAATGGGATTCTGGAAGATGCTTAAAGTGGCCCTTATACTAAATCTCTCCTCCCTCACCATATTCCCTGAGCCCGCAGTGGGGAAAATAACCGCGTGCTGCTCCTTTCAGATGCTGGTGCGGCTGCTGCCATGGTCTCTGCTGCATTGCTCCAAGGCGCTCTGAGCCCATCTTTGCCAGAGAGGACCGCACAGAAGTTCAGTCCAAGATCTATTGGAACTGAGCTTAGCAATGCAGACCCCAGAGATGCCATGACACCCTTGGCCAACCATGACTCAGGCTCCCCAAAAGGAGGGTATTGAGTGGGACCATGACGAGCTTGTGGTTCATGGCACTCATGACCCATCCAGTTGTCCACGCCGGAAACCTGAGAGTCATGTTCAACTGCCTGCCCTCTATCCCCGTCCCCAGTGGGTCACCTTCCTTAACATACCACCATCCGTTCCTGGGTGACATCCCCCATCCCCCGTCTCCCAACTTGCTCCTCATTCCCTTGTCTCTTTCTTCTTCCATGTTTTATGCACACAGTGGCCAAAGCCAATGACCATGTCACTCTTTCTCTTGCTCGGAATTCCTCTGGAGCACCTGAATTCTTAGAAGAGCAAGCACCAACTTCTGGGCATGGCATTCAACGCTCTTGGAAATCTAGCCCAACTTACCTTCATCTTTGCATTCCCATTTATTGCTACATATCTCAAGCCCCAGCCACGTTCTTTTGCCTCTGTCTGCTTATGCATATACTGTTCCTGTTGCTAGAAATGACCCTCCTCCACTTCTCCAGTCACAGAACTACCCGGTCCTCAAAGCCCAAATTACAGGTTGCTCCCTCCCACAGCGTTTCCTGACTGCCCACCTCTGGCTCCTGCCAGCTCCATGTGCTGTTTCGGAGTTAATCTTGTTTCTTCAGTCTCTGGTTTTAGACAGAAAACTCTTCAAAGGCTTACAGTGTAACAGTGCAATTTATTCTTCTTCTCTGTGTTCATTTTCCCTTTAATCTTTTTTTTTTTTTTTTTTTGGAGATGGAGTCTTGCTCTATTGCCCAGGCTGGAGTGCAGTAGCATGATCTCGGCTCACTGCAACCTCTGCCTCCCAAGTTCAAGCCATTCTCCCGCCTCAGGCTCCCGAAGAGCTGGGACTACAGGCATGAGTCACCACATCCGGCTAATTTTTGTATTTTTAGTAGAGACAGGGTTTCACTGTGTTGGCCAGGCTGGTTTCAAACTCCTGACCTCAAGTAATCCACCCGCCTTGGCCTCCCAAAGTGCTGGGATTACAGGCGTGAGCCACTGCGCCCGGCCATTCCCCCTTTAATCTTGATTCTTGTCCCAGCCCCTAGTCTGTGCCTGGCGTGTGGTCTCAGGACACGTGAACGCCTCCAGGTTGGAGTCTTTGGGTGGGGGGGGGGGTCACCTAGAAAACATCTCCCTACAGTGACCTCCGGAGTCATGAGCAGAGCTGCCCCCAGAGACCCCCATCACGATGTGTCTCAGTATCCAGTGTAAAAACATCACTCTTCACACCATTTGCTTTTTTAAGGACTCCATTCTTTCGTTTTCAGGGAAGAAAGAAGAGAATTGTATTTTAGCCTGCTAGGCAGAGATATACTCCAGGATTCAGCAGTCTGAATATTTTTTTTTTCTTTTTAAAACCAATATCATCATTATCATCTCAAGGCTGTGCCTCCAGGTGTGAGATACACGTTGGACAGTCACTGAGATAATTTTGGGCAGAACAGGGGCACAGATTAAATAATTGGATCTCAGAGGGACATAATCATTTCTTTTTATTTATTTCTTTTTTTTTTTTATTATACTTTAAGTTTCTTTTCCACATATCTTTCAGACGTTCTGCTTTTGCTAGAAAGGAAGCCGCAGGTAGATGCTAATAGGTCTTTAACACCTCCCTAACACTTAGTAATTTTCCTTTTAACAAAGAGCACAGCTTGAAGGCAACAACATTCTCAGATTTCTGTTAGATTTACTTTTTTTTTTTTTTTTGAGACAGAGTTTCGCTCTTGTTGCCCAGGCTGAAGTGAATGGCATGATCTCAGCTCACGGCAGCCTCTGCTTCCCGGGTTCAAGCGATTATTTTGCCTTAGTCTCTTGAGTAGCTGGGATTACAGGCATGCGCCACCACGCCTGGCTAATTTCGTATTTTTAGTAGAGACGGGGTTTCTCCATGTTGTTCAGGCTGGTCTCGAACTCCCGATCTCAAGTGATCCGCCCGCCTCGGCCTCCCAAAGTGCTGGGATTATAGGCATGAGCCACCGTACCTGGCCTAGATTTACTTTTGCAGTTGCAGATTTATCTAAGGTTAGCAATGCTGGTTGTAAATGGATCATATAGTTTCCTTTTTTTAAAAAATTAAAGTAATGGAGTCTCAGGGTGGAGTGCAGTGGTGCCATCATAGCTCACCACAGCCTCCAACTCCTGGGCTCAAGTGATCCTCCAGCCTCAGCCTCCCAAATGGCTGGGACTGCAGGCATGCACCACTGCACCTGGCTAAAGTTTCCTTTTGAAACTGAAGTTTAGAATACGTGTTGATAGAAAAAAAATGTCAAGGAACTGTACATCCAGGTTGCACATGGAACTGGCTAAAATCTTGATGTCCCAAACAAGTGACATTTGGGAACACGTCTCCATGGGTGTTTTGCATCTCCTCATCTGAAAACCATTCCATGTTCATTTTATTTTTTTAAATTTAAATTTTTTTTTTTTTTTTTTTTGCGGGGGGACAGAGTCTCACTCTGTCGCCCAGGCTGGAGTGCAGTGGCATGATCTTAGCTCACTGCAACCTCCACCTCCCAGGTTTAAGTGATTCTCCTGCCTCAGCCTCCTAGGTAGCTGGGATTACAGATGTGCACCACCATGCCCAGCTAATTTTTTGTATTTTTAGTAGAGATGGGGTTTCACCACGTTGGCCAGGCTGGTCTCCAACTCCTGATCTCCAGTGATCTACCTGCCTCGGCCTCCCAAAATGTTGGGATTAGAGGCGTGAGCCACAGTGTCCGGCCCACTTTCATTGCTTCTGATAACTGCTCCACCCAGCTTGCCTATTGAAACTGAACCTCTGCCCCTTCTGGTGGAACTGGTGGGGCATGGGCGGAGGCACTGGCAAGACCCTTTGGGATGCCTCTTTCCCAAGGAGTGAGTTCTGGTCATTCGAAGTGACAGGACGGCGGCGGCAAGGACACAAGGCCACGGAAACAGGCCCAGAACTAACGAGGCTACACCAGGGACAGATCATGAGACAGAATATGAGAGAGAGAGAGAGAGAGAGAGAGAGAGAGAGAGAGAGAGAGAGAG